GAAGGCCATGTGCCCCGGATGCCACTTTAGGAGGGGTGCCACTAGATGTGTGGATGGAGAACTTCTCCCTTGGGGGGGGGGGGGGCGGAGGCTAGCAAGTCTGAGCCTTTGCCCCGGGTGACAGAACATCCAGCTTTCACACTAGTCTGGGCACACCCTGAGCGCAACAGTGGGCACCATGTTTTTAGTCACTGAGCCGGTGGAGAGATTACAAAGATCTATCTGTGAACAGCTCAGCAAGTGCGGCACTTGCCGCTTACATTCCTTACATAACAGCCATAGTCCTCTGTGCCTGGGAAGCTGTGAGGAAGCATGGCTCTGGCTTCTTAGGCTTTCCATCCACACCCTAATGCAATATGCTGTGCATGCCCATGGTCCCTTGTTGTACATATGAGCACTGCAGCACATCAGATTGCCTCCACGGATATCCTCTATGTGCTACTTTTCTCTCTCTCTCAGTCTGAGCTCTGCTGTTCAAGGACTGCAAGAGGCTGATACCAAGTCCAATGCAGGTACTTACACTGCTCACATTTTTAAAATATATTTAAGGATGTATTAATGAACAGAGCGCAGCATTAACTTATGTATTTTATGTCTTCCTGGAGATCAGCTTTAAAACAGTAAGTGCCTGCACTGGCTACTGAAACAAGAGAAGAGATATGAGACAGAGAGGCTGCTAATGTAGTAATTTTACTTTACATGAAATATGGTGGCAACAAACCAATGTGACTACCTGGTTAACTTGTGCATCAGGAGGCAGATTTCAGGCTCCTAGAAAATGAATAGCAGGTATCCAAGGTTCAAGCAAGGGCTATCTACAGAGATTAGAACAAGGTTTTGGTCTGGAGAGGCAACTGTAACTTCATGAATACAGGTGAAGCACTTGTGTTGGTTTCCATTGCATTACAAGGCTGCGCTCTTCAAAATATCAACCCTGTATGTTGAACTTTGAACATGTTCAAGTCAACCATGGGATGGAGTAGTACTTTTGTAAGTGATAATAACAACAACTAAAGTTAAAACCTTGAATTTTGTAGCTGTATTGGAAAGGCGCAAGTTCGCTTTGTCAAGCATATTATAGTAATCACAAAGGGGCCTTGATGCAGGATAGCTACAATTAGCCATTAAAGGTGTTACCTTACATTAACATTTTATTTTCATGCACACAGTGCTTCAGTTGATCTAAAGCATGACCAGTAAACGTGTGCTGCCTGGAGCTTGGCAAAAAACTGTTTTAAGTTCCCTTTACAAGTTAAGTCATTTTATTTACCAAGCTACCCAAGCAAAAACTCACAGCTCCTTGTGAAAGTACATTTCCAACGTTAAAAGCGTATTGAGGACTAGATGTATACAACAATTCCCTTTCATTAGGTTTGACCACCTGGATGTTGGCATGTAAGCGGTTGGACGTCAGTATTTGGAGGCAGAATTTGTCTGTTAAAACCTTTCAAAAGTATCTCCTACATCAGTCTTAACATTTGAGCATAGACTTCAGTTGGACAGTACAATTTGCCCAATTTATGAAGCTTTACACATGGATGAGGATCTTCATTTGCAGTCACATGATTGTCATGATCAAATCCTGATAGGTATGTGGTAGCACTGGACCAGTAGGAATAAAAATCGGTTTTGATGCAAATCCAAAACCAATTTGGAGTAGGCAGACCCATGATAACTGTATGTGTGGGAACCTAGTTAAGGT